ATGTGTGGCTAGGGGTTGTAGAGAGTGCGTGTATAGGGGCATAGTGTTATAGGGGATGTAGCGAGTGTGTACATACGGGCAGTAGTGTGTGTGTATAGGTGACGTAGTGTGTGTAGGGGTTGTAGAGAGGGTGTGTTTAGAGAATGTTGTATGTGTTTGCTTACAAGGAATGTAGTGTGTGTGTAGGTGGTGCAGTGTGTTTGTGTAAAGGACCCAGAGTGTGTGTAGAAGATTGTGTGTGTGTGTATGTGTAGAGGATTAAGAGTGCATATAGGGTAAGGGATCTAGCGTGTATCTGGAGCGTTATGTGTGTAGTGGTGCAGTGTGAGGGGTGCTGTAGTGTGTGTGTATATATATTTGGACGTATTGTATGTGTGAGGTGCGCAGTGTGTTTGTGTAAGAGGGGTGCTGTGTGTGAGGGTGTTTTTATCTGCCGTCACATTCTAGGTTTCTAATTTTCTTTGTCTGTTAACTCACTGAGGGTTATTTTATTTATATATATGTGTGTGTGTGTGCTGTATATGTGTGAGGGTGCTGTCTGCGTCTGAGGGTGCTGTGGGTGTCTGGGGGTGCTGTGTGTGTCGGGGGTGCTGTGTGTGTCGGGGGGTGCTGTGTGTGTGTCTGGGGGGTGCTGTGTGGGTGTCTGGGGTGCTGTGTGGGTGTCTGGGGGTGCTGTGTGGGTGTCTGGGGTGCTGTGTGTGTCTGAGGGCTGTGGGTGTCTGGGGGTTTTCTGAGGTGCTGTGGGTGTCTAGGGGGTGCTGTGGGTGTCTGGGGGTGCTGTGTGTGGGTGTCTGGGGGTGCTGTGGGTGTCTGGGGTGCTGTAGGTGCCTGGGAGGTGCTGTGTGTGTGTGTGGGTGTCTGAGGGTTTCTGGGGGTGCTGTGTGTGTGTCTGGGGGTGCTGTGGTGTCTGGGGGTGCTGTGGGTGCCTGGGGTGCTGTGTGTGGGTGTCTGGGGGTTTCTGGGGGTGCTGTGTGTGTGTGTCTGGGGGCTGTGGGTTGTCTGGGGGTTTCTGGGGGTGCTGTGTGTGTCTGGGGGGTGCTGTGTGTGTCCTGGGGTGCTGGTGTGTGTGTGTCTGGGGAGTGCGGTGTGTGTGTCTGAGGGCTGTATGGGTGTCTAGGGGGCTGTGGGTGTCTAGGGCTACAGCAAGGTGTCTGGGGAGCTGTGGGTGTCTGGGGGCTGTGGGTGTCTGGGGGCTGTAGGTGTCTGGGGGCTGTGGGTGTCTACTTGGGGGGCTGTAGGTGTCTGGGGGGCTGTGGGTGTCTGGGGGCTATGCAAGGTGTCCTGCAAGAGGCTGTAGGTGTCACACCAGGAGTGCTGTGTGTGTCTGGGGGGCTGTGGGTGTCTGGGGGTTTCTGGGGGTGCTGTGGGTGTCTGGGGGGCTGTGGGTGTCTGGGGGGGGCTGTGTGTGTGAGGGGGCTGTTAGGGAATTTATTTTAAATAATTTTTTTTTTTTTTATTAATAAAAAAAAATAAAAAAAGTTATGTCCTCCCCCCCCTCTCTTCTT